GAGCTACAACAAATGGCAAGGGAGTTGTTCAGAAAGCCCGATAACTTCTTCGATCCTTTCGCCAGCTCTTGTCTCCTTTTTCACACACCCGGATTGTTGGTGCCACCCTCGTTCGACGAATCTGCGATTCCTGTCCCGAGCCCCTTGATCGCAGCGACTGAGGCTTGGTTCTCGGCTGAAGAACCAGCCGAAATGACAGCTCTAATGAAACAGCCGCGGAAGAGTCATCTAGTATTTCCGCCCCGTAAGTCGATGTTGAAGATTCCCGAGATGCTGCTTCTTCATGACACCCCTCCTCCTCTTCCTCCTTCCTTGCTTCGGAGGCGACAGAGGCGGACAAAGAAGAGTTATGGCAACAGTTTTGGCACGCAAGCGGAAGAGCTGGCAGGATTGATGCGAAGGAGCATCAATAAGGTCGAGCTGAAGGAGCGCTTGAAATGGGATGAGGACTTTGACGAGTCCGATGACGAGGCGAATAGGCGCGTTCAGGTCTTTGATGTAGGATCTAGTGATGTCTTCCAGGGCACAGAGAGCGGCGTCAATAATGTAGCTGCCACATGGTTAGCCGACCGCACATATGTTCCCTAGTGCGAACAAGGTGATGCCGTGCTATTCTACCATATCTCCGTAGCTTATCCCACTCACATTGGCTCGGGTCCATGAACCGAATTAACTCAGGGCGGGCGAACCTTTATGAGCCCCTTTCTCTTGCCCGGCCTTTGTTAGTAACGAATTTTAGGACCTACTATATAAGCTCTTTTGATCCAAGGTGCTCCTAACAAAGGCCGGATTGGCATGGCCCAGCGGATAATATGTTCTATTCAGTGTCATTATTCCAGTATTCTCTAGACATTATCATTAGGTGGTTGGGTTCAATTCCCAACGCGGCCATATTTTTTTTCCCTGTTCAATAGTCTTTTTCCTTTCTCTTTTTACCATTCCTGGCCATCGTCATATTAACACATTCTTCCCGTCTTGGGAGTGAGTGAGGTCAGTTGCTGTTATAGGACGTAATTAGGAGCTTATTGCTGTATATATATGTTAAGCTTCATCGATCTTACTTGCTATGATCGAATTTCACATATAGGAGCTCAATATATTGTGCGGTTGTATGTTAACGCCCACAGTAAGCATGATTTTTCAGACTTAACAAATTTTCCTCACTTACTTATAGCAAATATAGTCACCGTCTTTCACGCAACGAGTTGTATATATCTGTTCCTGGGAAAACTTATTTATCGTCATTTGATAAGGCTGGTAAATTCTTATCATCTCTGCAATTGTGAACATAGGTGTTGTTTAGATATCCTACATTTAGATCTACAATAAGATTTCCTTAATGATTACACATCCTAGGGTCCCTCTTGTTATGAACAACTCGAATCCAGGCCCTAATTGTCCTTATCGGGGACAAACCTCTCGCTACAGAACATTCCAGTAATGAAGCTCAAGCTTGATATACGGAAATCACAATCACTAGCAGGTTGAACTCCGTCGAAAGCGAATTTTCGAGCTCAGAGTGGCGAACACTTATCTTCATTTGCTTCCACTCAATATTTATCGTATTGGGCCGTGGCCCCTTTTCACACCTATTTATAAACATCACATATACAAAAGGCCCAAATTTCCGACTCGTGCAACATAAACATCCCATAGACAATTGATATATGTTTCCGAACCCATGTTAATCCCATATCTCTTGACATCCCCACAAAGATTCGCTCTTTACCTCCTCCTTCTCTTCCTTGTTTACCGTCACCCAATCGACACCAGCCGGTGCCGATGCAATCCAGCTTGTCCACTCTGCAACGTCGATCTTGGAGATTTTTTCTACATCAAGCCGGATGAGTATCTGCTCCCATGCAAGAGTTTTCTTGGGTATGTAAAAGTCGTCGTGCCACTCCAGTCTCTGTAGTACGATGCCTCGAGTTCTGCCGCCCGGACCCGCTGGGTCTGCGGATAGTCTCGTGTAGACAGGCTGGGTGCGGCCGTCTTTATTCTCCGGCTCATCTGCACTCATTGTTAGCGAATCTGTTCTGCATTGTGTAATAGTGATAAGGGATGAAACTTGCCTTCATTGTCGAGATCACGGTAATTGGCAACATGGCCCGAGGCTGCCCATTGGGTACCGAGGCAAATCTTACGATGCAGCTCGGGAATGGTGATACCCTTCTCAATGGTCTTTCTGTCTCGAAGGATGCTGTCGGCCGCCCACGTCATGCTCGGCGAGAGGTCGTCGGCGATGTACAAGCTTCCGCCTGTGGTCGTGTTGAATGCACTTGCGCTGATGGTTTCGACAACGCCTTTGCCGTTGAAGCGGTCACAGGTCAAGCTGCTGCATGAGTTGTTGATGAGCAAAATGTCTGCGTCGCAGTCGCCCATAATTGAGGATATGACCCCGGAGTCCACAGAACTGGCTTGTCTACAGATAACGTTAGGTTAGCATGTATACCCTTAGATAGTAATATTTGGGAGGATTCTTTTTTTGACACTTACTTATAATCGCCATGGGAGAACCAATGCGGCGGGCCTCGCCGATCTGGATTCTCTCGTCCGTGACCATCGTACCAGATGATGAACAAGGTGTCAGGATTGTCGAGATCGGTCAAGTCCATCAGTCGGCGGGCCAAGGCGCGATAGGATTTGGTCATTGGGATCTTGAAGTTCTTAACATTGTAGTTATAGAAATCGCGGAATGTTTCTTCGTAGCGTTGAACACAGGAGTCGATTTCGTTCAGATCATGTTCTTCCCACTGGATCAGGAGGGCGTATACGTGTTTGTATCGGCTCACGTAGTTTCGGTCGTTCCAAGATTTGGAAATAGCTTCTCGAATCTGTTCCAGTGGACATGTTGTTTCTTCTTCTTGATCCTCGTCGTCCTTGAGGTCGCCGTCGTTTTCTTGGATCTGTTCTGGCGAAGGGGAGTCCCAATCATCGTCTGCGCTGGTAACTTCCCCGGCGGTATCCTTAACCTCCGGTGTTGAAGATCGGGAAGTGGCGGGTGTGTGGCAGATGATTTGAGAGTCTTCTCGGCTGCTGAATGTAAGGTCCTCGATGCTAGATGTGAGATCCTCGGTGCTGGATGTGAGGTCATCGCAACTGGTCTGGGCACAAACAGTATGCTCTTGAGACGTTGAAAAGGAACTAGGAGGGGATGACTCTGAGGGTGAGGAGCAATCTTCCAGTAGCAGGTCAAACAGACCCAGGCAGTCATCGTCTTGGGTCATGGTGGAGAGTTTTTCGAAGATCCTCATGAAGGTATCACGTAGTATTGTGGTGAAGAGTTGTTGTGTGCTCAGGCGAGCTGAAGGAATCCAATCAAGCTGCCCGGGCTTTGTTTGCGCTTTCGAAGAAGGGATTGAACAAAAGCAATACGAAATTGTTTTAAGGTACGGGTTTTGACTTGGTGGAGGTAATAGAGGTGCTGCTAGCGAAGCCAGAGATTGAAGTGATGTTTTGGTGATGGAGATAGTGGCAAAGGCTTCAGCAGTTGAAGCGAAGTGAAGCAAGAAATGAAATGTTGTGTTGATGATGGAGATGGCAGCGCTAGCTTCAGCAGTGGAAGTGGCTTGTATAGCCTACAGGCTTCAGAGGGGCAATGAGTACAATGATACAATGGTCATTGACCTTTGACAGAGAAGATTAGGATTGCGAGAGATGGGAAAATGGATGAGTGTAGTAAGGTAACCCGTCGAATTCAACGTGTGTCATCAACGTCGTTACAGTGCCCCTACTTCCGAGGACAAATATCTACAATGAACGAAGAACCGCGAGTTCCACCATCTATAGACTTGGAGGACGTGTTTCAAATCAGTAATGGCATTATGCCGCTGTGTAACTTGTCAAGCTAGGAGAAAGGTTTCAATAGCATTTTCAGGGGATAATGCATTATGAGCAATCGACGTTGGCAATGGGTCAATAGCTGTGCCATTTTGAACTAATCTCTATTGTACTGTCCAATGTAGTAGGGCTCGGGATCTGGCATTGTTCCTGAGCAAAGTTTCTCCTTATGTTTCTCGTTGTGCATCTAATGAAGAATCAATCAACGCCTCACTCTTTGCATTGTTAGGCTCCTGGACAATAACCCCTTTCTTCAACCATTGAAAGTAGACAGCAAACAGAACAATGTAAATCATTTTCAGAGGAACGTACACAGCCTTGTATAGGAGTCGAGCTATTCTGGATCTAGCCGGGAGGAAGACACAACATGCGGGTCGCTCATCTACTCCATGCGAATGAGTCACCTTCGGGAAGCAATAGTCGATGAGCCCTAACTGCTGCCTGGTGCGGACTGAAGCCCATCCCCGATAAAGTGATAAAGAGAACTGGTTGTAGCTTGGAAACGTACGTGGTGGAAGAAGATATAATTAATATATATTTCTGCATGGACGCTCTAGACTTGATGATTGGTAAAATCTAGAAAAGCAAGGATAGAGAGGGAAGTTTAAATAGGAAGCTATCTACCACCAAAATCTTCATCTACGTACATAAAGATAAAGCAAGGCTTTATGTATGTAACAGGACACTATTTATCATAAGTCACGCATGTACATTTTAATCCTGCGATTTGAGAAGCTGACAGCATTCAATTGAGAAGGGCATATTTTTCAGAAGTTCCTTAGAACTTGAGGGCACTGTCGACCATATGAGGTTACGCAGATAGTATTACAGCAATGAAAATCATCGATACACATGGTAGAAAGGAATCCCAGTGTAGTCAAAAAGTAAGGATGATCTCAAATCGGTTTGCTTGCTAAGGCAAGACCATCTCATCTCTTAAATTACTCGGTACTGAAATCTGAAATCTAAACAATGAAATCTAAAGCGTGAGTCTCAGATTTCAATGAGTTCCGAGGTCTGAGTCGAGCATTAGGTAGTCCGATCTGGTACTTTGGCTTAGCGCCGGTTCTTGGCGGCAGGCCTGAGTGGGACTGCCATATCGGAGTGGATGTTAGGTTTATAAGAACAAATAAATTACCCCACTCTCATCAAATAATCAAGGCTCTATGGTCTAGAGGTATGATTCTCGCTTTGGGTGCGAGAGGTCCCGAGTTCGAATCTTGGTGGAGCCCCAAATTTTGTCCTTTACAGACATGTATATTTTTTTCAATGTCTTCATAATCTTTGTGTTTTGGTCTTCTTGTTACCTTTTTTACTGTTTGTATTTTAACATTTCATGTTGATCTTTTATTAAAGACAAATAGCGGGAAGCGTACAAGTACAAAAGGAGAAAGCGGTGTGGTGAGGGCTGCAAAATCCATTCAATACATGCGTATAAGTGTAGTCCGTATATTTACATCACCGCACTCAACATGACCTATCACTCACCCTTTGTCTTTAAAAGGCCGAGTCGTCTTTATATATCATGTAGCTAAGCAGATTTATTAACACCATTGTCTCATGGTGCTCAGATTCTGATGTCCAAGCTTAGTCGAGTTCGGTGGCAGTCAAGAATGAATGTGCTGCGAAAACCATTGCGCGCCCCGCGTTAAAGGTTAAAATACACTCGGAACCTAGACAACACAGGATCGCACTTACAAAAAGGGACTTGTTTGTGAATTGGCAACAACATATAAAGTTCTCGTTTATTTGAAGACAATCGCATTCAGGTGAATAGCATTTCCCTATTGGTCATTATCTTTCCTGAGCCTGTTGGTCTAATGGAAACCCCCCAAATCCAACACAACCCAAGTCTGGAAACCAAGCAAACCTCCATCCTCAACTGCACTCAATGATGCTTACCACGCGCCGGTATCTCAGTGCAGGTAAATGCCAACTTATCCGTCTATCTAAAGCTTGCTCAAGTAAGGCTTTCCAAGCTCCATGTTATCCCTCAGATACGTGATTGCTGATTAGCGATTTTGTCCAAGCATATCTTGACTTCCTTCTGTAGGTGCACTTCAAACGCAGCGCGCAACTGTCTGTGCTCAGTCTCGTCCAACGGCGCGCTGAGATCTCTTCGCGCGCGACTCTCAGGGAGCTCTTTCAATGTCGCGTTGGGATCTGCCCATGTCTTGTCCGCAAAGTGATAACTGCGATACTCGGTGTTTTCCCAGCCTGTACCTTGACGGCTCGTGGTCAGCGTATCAGAGATTTGGACGCATGATGAACATAGTGGACGACCAGAAAGATGCGCCATGTCGCTCCAGTCGCTAATCCTATCTTTGAGGGAAGGGAGCCGTTTACTTACCCGCGCCGGCTTCGATGCCTTGCCAGTCTCCGGTGATGAAGTGTAGTATACCTCCGTGCGAGACCAATACGATATGTGCATCATCACCCGCCTCCTTAGCAATTTCCCTTAGAGAAATTCTGGCATCGCGAGCTCGAGCATCAAGTTTCTGCGCATCCGGGTACCATCTGCTCTCGGGTGTCTTCTTGTTCCATCCAGGCTGAACAAGATGTAAGTCGACAAGGTCTCCGAATTCCTCATTCAAAGCGCTAGGCTCGGTACCGATATCGCATGGGTACAGAGAAACTTCCTGAGCGTCTGGAAGAGCGAGAATTTTCGCCAACTTCACCACGGCTGGGCCAAAGGAGAGCTTGCAAGTGTAGAGAGTGCGGCGGATAGGGGAGGCGATTAGGTGCGTGACTTGGTCGTGGAAGGGGAAGGTCGCGCATAGTTTTTCACATTGTCCTCTGCCGAGTTCAGTCAGGTCAGGGTCGGGTAGCCATTGATTTTCCAGCTTCACGTTGTGGTAACCTTGAGCATGGCGCACAAGATGGATGGTAGGTGCCATTTGAACGTCTGAATGAGGATGGAAGTGGATTGCCAGTCACCAGCGAGTATCTGGGGGGCAGCACGAGTCAAAATATAGTCTATTTATTCGAAATAAAAGTTTGCTAGGAAGTATGATACTTTTTGCTAGTTGTGAGCAGGTTTATTAGTCTGAAGCTTTTAAAAACGAGGCGTTGAGATAGAAACACCATGACTCAAACTTTGCCCTCTCGTTAGACTTTCTTAATCTACAAGGGTGATTTTAATACCGAGACCCCTTATTTTCGACTCCACAATCGTAACGAGCGGCGGGCGACCGGACGCGGTGAGGACCACCATCGGTCAGCATACCGGATGATGCACTTGGAAGAATTTTTTTTGTTTTTTTTTCTCTCTTTCGGTTGGTGAGTCTCATGCCCACGTGTATCGTAGGACGACCGGAGTAGTGCCTTACCGCGGCCCACATGTTCCTAGGTAGTCAAGTAGGATTCGGTTCAGAGACTACTCCTTGTGATACATTATTCCGTGACTTGACAAGTAGTGCGATCGGGCCTCAATCTTCTTAAATCGTCAATCGACTCTCTCAAGGATTTCGCATGCCCCATACTCCGACGCAAATAAGTGTAGTATGGACCGGCAGCAGTTCGACTGGTAATGTGTTCCCGCTATATTAGAATATTACTTTAGTGTTAGCCTGGCAAGTCAAGGATTAGAGTAAAACATTGATAATTAGCGTTGCATGCCACGTTCAACATTGTCTGTTCATTCTGAGTGAGCTGAACCACTCCTAATGTGCTCATAGTTGGTGGCTTGCTTGTATGTACTCGGATGGGTTCAGGTTACTGTATGCCGACTTATACATGCGAGTCTGCAGCAAATCCACAACACCCGAATTTATGGAGAAAGAACTACGTTTAACCTTTTTGCCGGCCATGTTTGGCTCTGGTTAGGCAATCCTCCTAGACTATCCCAGGGAACTTAGGATATCAACTGAAGAGGATCTGCTACAAACGCCCAAGTCTCGTCGGCCAGTATAGGCTATTCCGAAGCATCTTAACGACAGCATACATCTTCGCTGCGCCGTATCGTTGGGCCATCTGTCTCCGAGCCCTTTCTAGGCAGCGCCTTATTCCATTCAACAACGATCGGATTACACCCATTCGTTTCAGCTGCTGGGTCCGTCGCTGGACCCAGTCCACGGTGCAGATGGGCTAGCAGAAGCATTATCTGCAGGATGAGGGAAAGTTGGTTGCTGTCGTTGGGTATATAGCTGAGGCTGCCTGGGTGTTGGCTGGTTCGACACCCATGGAGCTCTTGTTACCGAGGCATTGACTGTAGGCAAACCTGATCCGCTAGCCCACGGCGCCGGGGTGCCAGAGCTCCTAGCACTGGGCGGTGCCATAGGGGATGGAGCAACAGGCAGGTTGGTTATATGTGCCGACGGTTGGGGTGTTACTGCATCGGAATCTTGCTCCCAAGAGAATAAAGAGCCGAACGGGAAATGTTGTACCACTGGAAATTTGGAGAGGACTTCAGCGTTGAACATTTTGATCATACCCTACCCGGTTCGTCAGTGATGAATTGGAGTCGATATTAGGCGTAAGAGCTTGCCTTATTGATTTTGCCCCATCCATCCTTGACGCCCGAGATGTCAAATAGCATGGGACTATGTTCCCAAAAGGGCCCCTTCTTCACGTCATTGATAAAGCCTATGGCGGAGAAGTAGAGGTTCCTCTTTCTCTCCTCCTCGACGTATTCTGATTTTACAACCGATGATGTTTTTGGAGCTCGGAAGACAGAACCTTCTGTCGGCATAGGTTCTGAATCTGTTATGGCTCGAGTGAGCTGGGCAGAGCCGTAGATATAAGGCTGGAAGGAATGGTCGTCTAGCCCCCACACGCCATGCGAACCAGCAGGCTCCAGAGTGTAGGTGATAATCAGACGACGGACGACGCGGAGATATGGCTCGAAAACACCAAGCACAATACTCCGCTCGATGTCACCGTTCGAGGAATCGACTCGAAAAGCGCCAAGCTTCCACAGACCGCCGAGGAAGGCCAGAAAACTCAACTCGTGGCCAGTTCCGTAGTCGAGACGTTGAGCACTGCCAAATGCACCTAAAAGATAGGCCTTTAATTCATCTGCGGCGGTGCCGGCCTGAGCGGGGAACTTGGACACAGCATCGGGTAGATTCTGTGCAAGGAGAGCGTCGATTCGCTGCTGCAGTAGTTGGTACCATGTGCGGAAGGCGATATTCCCAAAGCGTCTTGGACCTTGGTGTGGGGGGACTTCATCTATGAGAGAGTTGATGTTGGCAAGCATGTCCTGAAGCTTTCGTACAGGCCCGATGGGCTTGGTCTCATACTCTGAGCCGATCAAGAAGGACCGAATCTGGTCTTTCCCATCTGCGTCCCTGAATTTGCGAGGACACATTGCGCGGTTGAGCTGTAAAACGAAGATGCCGATGTCGCGGTAGGCTTGAGAAGTCAGGAACTTGGCGACGTCAGGCGCATCATGAATCTGTTTGGTGGGGGTCACGAATGTATGAGGGGCGGCATGGCCCAGTGTCTCGAGGACTAGGTCTGGTGGCGGAGGATTCATCATCAAAGGTGTTTTAATATGATGCAAAGCTGTTGCACTCGGTATGTAGGTACCTATCCTAAGGCTTTGGGTTTTGTATACATGTAGGTATGGACGAACCTGTGTGGATGTACGGAGTAGTGAATGAGATGTAGGTAGATATTTTACTTGATTTCACATGCTGCCCCAGACTCATTATTATTAGCAGATGCCAGGGACCCCACACTATCTACTACCATGGCCCAAGCATGGCACTATAGTCTATCTTATTATGCAGGTGCTGTTAGGGGCGGTCGGGTCCTTCCTGCCACATCCCCGGCGGATCCACAGCTGGACGGCCTCGACCTCTTTTTATCCACAGTCTCTTATTATTATCCCTGGACTCTCGATTAATTGATGGTTGATTTATTATCATTCAGTTTGACTCTCGCGGCCACCGCCCAGTCCAATTCAATTTGGTCACCCTCCTCGTCGTCGTCATCATCATCATCATCATCATCACCCACGACTGTCACAAAGTACCGGCTCCTTTCGAATTTCAATATGCATAAAATCACTGCATTCAACCCCGAGCTCAATGCCTCACCGAACTGATGTCTCCTATGCCTGTAATCCTCTGAAATGAGCGAAATGAACTTGCGACTTAAACCTCGAGGCCGCGGCGGCCTGGAACCCATACCCCTTCCCAATAACCGTCCCAATCAATCTGCCTATGACCTTGAAGATAGCAGCTCCGATGAGGATGACGACGGCATACCTGCCGCGAAACGGCCGAGC